GTAGCTAAATATGCTAGTAGATGTAGCTAAATATGCTAGTATAAGTAGCTAAATATGCTAGTAGATGTAGCTAAGTGTGCTAGCATAAGTAGCTAAATATGCTAGCATAAGTAGCTAAATATGCTAGTAGATGTAGCTAAATATGCTAGTAGATGTAGCTAAATACGCTAGCATAAGTAGCTAAATATGCTAGCATAAGTAGCTAAATATGCTAGTAGATGTAGCTAAATATGCTAGTAGATGTAGCTAAATATGCTAGCATAAGTAGCTAAATATGCTAGTAGATGTAGCTAAATATGCTAGCATAAGTAGCTAAATATGCTAGTAGATGTAGCTAAATATGCTAGTAGATGTAGCTAAATATGCTAGCATAAGTAGCTAAATATGCTAGTGGATGTAGCTAAATATGCTAGTATAAGTAGCTAAATATGCTAGTAGATGTAGCTAAATATGCTAGTATAAGTAGCTAAATATGCTAGTAGATGTAGCTAAATATGCTAGCATAAGTAGCTAAATATGCTAGCATAAGTAGCTAAATATGCTAGTAGCTCTTAAGCTCGTCCTCCATCCTCAGCAGGCAGCGGTATGATTATATTGTCCTGTTGGAGCTCTGACAGGTGGTGTACCTACATGTTCTAAATTAAATCCAAAACGCTCTGAGTATCTACTGTACATTAGCTCGTACTGTTCACACAGAAACAAACGCTGGTTCTGGTCCGCGATGGAAGTCGCACCCATAATTCACATAAGGCATCATGGGGGTGAGGAATAAGGAGGGTTACAAACGTGTCTGAAATAAAATACAAAGTGAGAGCAGATCAGTACCCGTAATGTTTGGGATGTTTGAGTAATTCTTGTGAAAGAGAACAATCAGTTTTTAATCAGACATTCAGTCTCCAAAGTGAGTTCACCAAATAAAACTGTTTCAAACTGAGCGGGTAAAGCCAGCTCTCACTGAGCTGAAACTCTTACAGGCTGCTTGGGAGAAACAGCCTCAAAGTTGGAAGAAGGGTTTGTGATTTCAGGTTCAGCTCGCTGGTTACAAACTCCCAGAATGCCTTGTGGCTGCAGCTGAATATTTGAGGGTTTCGGTCTCCTCAGGTCAGAGGGATCCCGCCTAAACCCAGGCCTTTAATGATGATTGGCCGCAGCACGAAAACAAACAGTTTGTCACTAAGAATCGGGTCAGAACCGAAACTGACGGCTGCTCGGATCCTTTACTGGAACCATCAGAGATCCTTTACTGGAACCATCAGAG